CTTTTACTTGTGAATATAAAATAAAGTGGCTTTGTGTTTGCCCAGCAGAGTAGGAAAATAAGCGACACAAATTGAACAACAAAAATAAAATAAGTAATTTTTCTGACAAATCAGGTACACCTTTGTGTTCAACCTTCATCTCACTTCTTTTGTATAATACAGTTGTTATTGATGGACAGAAACAATCAAACCGTGATCTGAAGTAACCTTCCCCACCCATCCCCTCATCACTACGTGGACAATCCATACAAATACTAATTTAACTCAAAATGACTTTGGTTCCATAAAGAAGAAAAAAAAGAAAAGACAAAAATATATAATAATTAAAATGAGACAAAAAGATGAAAAAGTATTCCAACATTCCCCTGGCATACCCGGGGGAATATTGCTATATTGCTATCAGCCTGTCTGGTATAGTCGACGTAGCGATGTCTTCTGGAACCTAGACAGTGTAGAGGTGCAGGGCTTTAAATCCAGTCCTCAAACCATTGATCAAATTCCAAAAACAAAAGTCCTTTAGTTTGGAACAAAAGCAGAACACAGGTTTGCACTGGTGTTGCTGCAGCAGTCACATCTACTGGTAACTTTAAGGGGGATCTTTGCAAGTCAAGTCTTGGCCATTTGCGGGACCTTAAATTGAATAAGCCTGAGGCGTGCACACGATGTCGATGAACATATCCTCTGAAGAGCTGCATCCCATTGTAACATTTGATCCCAATCCAGCCTCCCAAGATAGTTGTGTTTGAGGATATGAGCATCTATCATAGCAAGAGGATACAGTTCTGAAGTGATAGCCGGCAGTAATGATGATCAGCAGGAGTTGTCCTCCGGTACGCAGCAGTTGTATGCATTCAAAGATCAACCTCAATACTTCCTAACAAAACAAATAGGAATGGAAAGCCATCCTAGAGACTGCTTCCCATGCCGCATGTTCTTCCAATCCTAAGAACCGTATGCCCTATATAAAGGCTGTGATGCTGTCATGAATGAATCACAAAAAAGAGACCAAATCCAGAGTCAATTCAGAGGGATTTGAATCCATATCTAGACAAAGTGAAAGGTATACTAGTTTGTTGGATCTGTAGAGCAGAGGCGATGACAGGAAACTCACTTTCTGACAGTCTGTAGTTTAAAATGGGACTTAAAGAATAGAGAAGATCCCTGGGACACTAACAGCAGGATCAGTAACATAAAGTAAAACCTCATCAGCGTATAGAGACGCTCTGCACCACAGAGAGCAGAAACAGTGTGCCGCTGGGACACAGAGGGAGAGAACAGCAGATGTGCAGAACCTCCTACTTAAACCACATGTTTGTAACACTGTGAATAAATATCTCCATTCCACTTTGTCAAATGCCTTCTCCCCATCTGAAGAGATGACAACTTCAGCCATATGTCACATGTATTTAGAGTTAATCCTATACAAGAGCATGTGTCTTGAACTACTTCATAAAGATATTTGGGGTCTAAAGTGCAGGCGCAGTTTCCAGGATGATGATGGCATCCAATTAGCAACACATGTATCCTTGTCTAAGGTGAGGGCCGGTTAGGATTTAAACAAAAGAAAGATGAAATATCAGAAAGCTAAACTGATATGATTTGGGGTTGAACAGTTCATTGTTTCAAGGGACTTGAATTAAGCAGGAGGCTGCTTTGTGCTTTGACTGGTGGTCCAGTAACCTGCTTCATCCCCATATTCATATACAGACCACCATGTGTGCAGTGTAGGGATGTGCATCTCCATCACTACGTTGCCTACGATACGATACACTAACGATACATTTGAAGCACCAGGCGATGCAATACGATTCACCCCTGTTGCGATACAGTTCGATACGATGCAATTCAACATGATGCAAAAATAATGATACTTCAATATGGTACGACAGAAGATTTTGTTTTATTCCTTATACAGTATGCAGCAAATTATACATTACCAAAAAAGTGCTTTGGTTCTCTCTACTAGTCCTGCACATCCCATCATGCTGTTTATTTTTTACCTTTTTTACCTTAACAAGCTCTCCAGAGTACAATTGTATAACACCTCACTGTTAAACAATGTAAGGATGCATTACCCAGGATTAACAATGTGCAAATAACAGCTACCATAGTGCAACGCCCATACAGCTGCTGACTGATGTGCTTAACACTCATCCATAGGCTAACTCACCAGTGAGCAGAAAGCACTGGTTTCTATAGGAACAATAAAGAATACAAATAACCTTTCACAAACAGGTATTTCATAACTGCTTACAGTAAGGAAGACATGTAAACTGTTATTGGCAGTCACAGGCTGCTGTAAACTAAACACCACTCTCTCTGACAGAACACCTCACTGAGTGATTTCACTCATATGTCTAACTTTCAGGTTTCTCTTTTCAGCCGCAGACCCCATGTCGCCTCTTTATGTGCGTCGCTAAGTTCCTCGTACTACTTGTGTACTTTAAAGCGGCACGGCATCGTTTACAATTTGCGAGCGATTTTTCAAGTTGACCGTCTTTCTTGAAAAATCTGAAGTGTTGCCAAACGTTTGATTTGTAGGTGTTTTTCGGTGCGCTGTGTTTCTCTTTCTCCTCGACTTCCATGTGTGTTGATAACTGAGACTCTCGGGCTCCGTAGTGCGACGCAAAGATCGTCTGAGTGTTGACAGGATGAGGGGATATTATATGAATGAATCGTTTTTTTACCGATGCAAAGACGCTACAATCGATGCATCGCGAGTTCAACCCAAACTGTAGCCAAAATGCACTTTTTGATGTCTTTTATACATACATATGTGTCCCCGGTGTGTAAGGAGACTCAGCGTCAGAAAATAAAACCCTCTCTCTTTTCCTCCGTACCCAAATCTCTAAAAACGGGGGAACAACGGAGCTGATCCAGATTTGCGTCCAATATGACGTAATATCTGAAATGTGGGCGGGCTTTACACCCACGGCCCTATCAGAAACGTTGCTATCAGAAACAATGCACAACGTGTTTTGGACGTACTGTAATATGCTCTGTGTTTACATTAGCAAGCATCGCTAACACTCTGAGCTAACCTGTACTGGAGAGAGTATGTGTAAAAAAGCAGGAAAACAAAAAAGGTATTCACCTTAGTGGTAACCAGAGAGAGAAAAAAGCATTTGGTAGAGTTCATCCTGCATAAGCCCCCCCTGCTTTTTTAATTGTTGTTTTATATCAGCACTTCTCTAACAGGGCTGAAATAGAGGGATATGAGGCATGGCTAGAATGGATGATCTGTTTGGTATTTGGAGCAAAACACTTCATAGACATGTTTTTTATATATTTGAGACCTATATGCCTAAAAATAGTATATTAGGAGACCTTTAATAGAACCGTCAGAGGTCGCTGTAGGCCTATACCTAAAACCGCCAACGGGTCAAATTTACCCGCTATTGATTTTCAAGGTACAGTGTTCTTTTATTTAGCATACAGAACAGTGAGTTTTGATCGCACAGGGATGAAACTTATACCAATAGAATCTGTGCAGTCTCAGTTTGATATAGTTTGTGCAGATAGCATGAAGTATAAAATATCACTACCAGTGCTGATTTAAACGCTTGGTGTTAGACTTGTGTTTTGTTTAGGTACAAATCTCTCTATCTCTCTCTCTATCCATCTATAACTATCTATCGATCTATCTATAATGTTCTGTTCTATGGACATATAATTGTCTACATAAACAGACAATGCAGACTACTTCTCTCATTCCGAGTGTCCATCTTTATTCAACTGGCACGTAACCTGCACACATGCATTACGTCCTCAACGGGAGCTCAGTCATCCAAGATCTTGTATTCTCCAAGATGTTACACTATCTATAACTA